GATCTCCAGGTCCATCCATGTTGCTGCAAATGGCATTATTTTATTCTTTTTTATGGCTAAGTAGTATTCCACACCACATCTTCTTTATCCAGTCATCAGTTGATGGACATTTGGGTTGTTTCATGTCTTCGCTATTGTGAATAGTGCTGCTGTGAACATTGGGGTGCGTGTGTCTTTTTGAATTATATTTTTCTCCAGTATATGCCCAGGAGTGGGATTGCTGGATCATATGTTATGTCTATTTTTAGTTTTTTAAGGAACCTCCATACTGTCCTCCATGGTGGCTGCACCCATGTACATTCCCACCAACAGTGTAGGAGGGTTCTCTTTTCTCTACAAGTGGGGCTGCTCTTAGCTCCTTGAGGCCCTGCACACAATTCTGGCTACATGACCCCCTCCATCTGCAAAGCCAGCGGAGACTCTTGGTTGTGATGACATCTTTGACCTCTAGACTTGGATTCATGGGGGTCATATGATGGGTCAGCCCACCAAGATAAATTTCCCTCTCTAAGGGACAATAGATTTGGGATCTTCATCACATCTGCAAAATCCTGTCACTCTGGTGAGCATTTGACTGAATAATTGGAGAAAGTGTGTGTCCACTAGGGTGGGGACCCTGAGGCATCTGGGGCCCCCACCCCCACCCCCATGGGCTCTGTCCCTCCCTCTGCCTTGGTTTTCCTATGGGTGATTGACACCTCCTCCATTTCATCTGCCTCCTTTATGTCGTCACTCTCTGTCTCACGGTGTCAAGAGGCCACTTCCCTCCACCTGGCCCCCCAAATGTCACTCATGTGCCCTGCACATGGTGCTCTGGCTTTGGACCGGTTGAAGGTGGGTGGGGAAGAGGAGCCAACAAAGGGCACATCCTGGGAGCGACCGGGGCCACGGAGAGTGGGGGGGGCTCTAGGGCTGGCCCAGCGTTCTGACGTCCATTGTGCACTTGTGTCTGCTGAAACATTTACTAGTGTGGAAGTCCCCAGCCACCATTTCTGACCAAGATGAGGTGCTGGGACTCCAACCGAGACTCGTGTTTGGAGAGTCTGGAGTGAGCTGCACTGAGGGCCTGAGGGCTGGGTGCTGTGTGCGGGACTGGGGGCAGGTGGGACCCCAGGCACCTGTCCCCACTTGCCTGACCCGGAAAGGAAATAAACACACATCCAGCATTCACCAGTTTCAAGGACTGGGTATCCGGCAGAAAGATGAATGTCTATTCAAGTTTTATATTTGAAGTTTTCACCACATAGTCACCTATCCACGTGTTTTTGGTAGGGTATGGAGGGTGCTGGTGCCACGCCCACACAGGGAATGTGTGTGTGTATGTGTGTGTCTGTGTGCAAATATGTGTGTATGTGTGTTTATGTACGTGTGTGTGTACAGGGGCCACCGTAAGAGCAGGCAACTCTGAGGGTCTCTCCATGGGTACTGACTATTTAGAGTGTAAGACTTAATGGGACAAGATTTAAAAACTGAAAAAAAAAAGACATAGTGCAGCCAAGATGATTCAGACAACTGCTCACCCAGAGACCTTGAGAAAAACCAAACGTGGCCCCGTCTTTAAAGCTGAGAAATGGCAGCTGAGTCTTAGCAGATGTAGCCTTCGTGGGGCTACATCACACCTAAGGTTGCTCTCAAGAACAGTGGGGGTTTTGGTGGTGAGGAGGCCGGCAGTACGTGATGGAGGTGAGCGTGAGAGGAGGACCCACTACAGGACAGCAGCCGAGTTTTCCCACCAGAGATACATGGGGACGGAGACAAACACAAGGAGCCCCAATGGGGTCAGAGCAAACCTCACAGACTGGCTTTAACACCACCCCGCCAAAGGGCCCAGATTTAATTGGATTAGAATGTGGAGCGCTGGTGTCCTGGGTCATTGTCGACACGGTGGAGCCAGTCAGCCAGACAGCAGGGGAGCCTGACAGCTGAGTATGACACCCACAGAGAGAACAGATTCACACAGAGATCAGTCAGAGGGACGTCAAAGGCAGCCCTGCGGGGCCTCCGTGGTGCTGGGTGAACGCGGTGAGCCCGGGGCTGCACTCTCTGAGGATGACATGCGGGCTCACGCTGATGGAGTCCAGCCCATCCATCCACCCGCCACCAGCTCACGAGCAGCAGCATCCAGCCCATGCTGGTCCTTTGTCCTCGAGCTCTCACACACACTGCATCTCCATCACTCATGCAGACCGGGCTGCCCCTCCCCTGGAGGGGGTCGGTGCAGGAAGCTTCAGCGTGGCCTT